TAACAATTCAATCTCTGGCTTAACATTATGCTTAATGGTTATTAATTTTTTCTTTGAGGAATGCATATCCATTTCAAAATTAACAAAGTTTTTTTTTTTTAATTTGCAAAGCTTGAAAAAAGAAGCTTAGTATGGATTCTTAACACACTACAAAACATCCCACTCTACTTTCTGATGTGTGGCTTTTCCAGAGGAACTCACAGCCACCACGCCAAGACTCAGCATCACTGGATGAATGCTCCCTTCTCATCTAGCTGCTCACACATGTGTGCATAAGAAAATCTTTGCATCATGAGGCAACATACACTGGACATTATCCTTTAAATTCCTCATAAAAGTGGGCCCCAAAGAGATAAAAATCGTGGCTTATGCCATAATTGATATACTAAGAAGTAAAAGAGAAAAATATAAGAAGAGAGCAGGAATGAGAAAGTAACAAAGCTTGGCATCCTCTTTCTTTGCCACATTATGTAGTTAGAGATAGACTCTTCTATCAGGACAATAAAAGTACATTTAGGCAGAGTGCTATTTTGCATCATGATGGTATTTCTGGTCAATGCCTCTTTGCCTGATACTTGGTTGGGGGAGAAAACAAATTAAGGCTACTGAGTTGGGGATAGGCATATATGGAAATCCACAGTAATCAGTGATGTAAAATACAGAGGGAAGAGTTACAAAGAGGTTCATTTGTCAGTGCTTTCATGACCTTAAAATACTGTGAAATTTTGTGTTAATCCGGGAATCTTGTATATCACTAATAAATCTTCTGCCAACATGACAGCAGCACAAAAAAAGAATTTAAGGAAAAAAATCGCAAAGTACAACCTTTATTTGTCGGTTCCTTTGGTTACCAAACATTACGATGTACACACTTCTGAGAGCAAGGGGCTGTGGCAGAGATCACAGATGAGACACAGAAGAAAGCACAGCCCCAATCCTTAAAAAGCTTAATGCGGGAAAATTCTGAGATTATAAAACCCAGAGCAACTGTCTTAAGTAATTCGACCACCAATTTCTGGCCCTAGCAACTGTCACAAGGGTTATCATATGCATGGTACTGACTAACTGTTTATCTATTAATACTTTTAGATGGAGGGCCAGCCCCATCTAGGGCCAGCAATATCTTGATGCTTAAAAATCGTAAAATACTGCAAGTAACGTTCCTTTACAAGTAGCTAGAAACACTAGAAAGCTAGTGAGGAACACATTTTGCTCCATTTGAACACTTTTGTAAAACCTGCATAAGCCATCAAGGAGAATATGGCAATATATTTCAGTTGACTATCACCTTGCATCTTCCAGAGGCTCCATCTTTAATGGCTCTTTAAGTATTAAAATGAGGGTTTAATGTACATTATAACTAACGGTACTTCAGATGAAAGTAAATGACCCACTACCCCCTCCCAGGTACCAAGAGGGGTCAGATTTCCCATTTATCAGCAAGTCATCAGAATAGGCCAGCATCTCAATCTCAGACTCTTCTGTGGCTGCTTCTTGGATGGCTAAGGGGAACACTTCAAAAATGAACCAGCTAAACAAACTTCCCAGCAGCACTTGACAGAGCTACACCTATTCTTCCCATTTCCAAAGCAGTGGAGAATTAATTACCAGTTCTATGGATCTATTGTAAGTATAATAGACTAAAGAGCTATCACAGACACATTTATTGTAAAAGCACAATCCCAAGAGTGTCTAGTGGAGGGCCAAAACGATTAACACAAATGCTTTGTCAGATCAAAGATAAAACCTGCACCGCCCAATTGAGGAATGAATTAGAACAGTGGGTTATCTTTCAAATTAACCAGGGCAGTTAGTGAGGAAAATTTCATGAAAGTGTAATTCTTAGCCTTTGTGAATCCACACAGCAGGCATTCTGCCAGCTGACAAGATGATGAAATTTTCTTGCTTAAAAAAAGCCCTCTTCATTTCCCAATTTAGATTAGCTAGTGTTTCTCTCCCTTTTGTGTGTGTGTGTCTATTTGCTCTTCTGGAGCAGAATTTAAGGGGAGGGGGAACACATATCAATTTTTCTCTGTAAAATTGAGTCTTTCAAAAACATTTCTAAAAGCTGAGATATAGTCTTTAAGCTGCCTTTTTATGATTTTCAAAAAATACTAGTTCAATTTTAACTTTGTACAAAGGAACCAACAAGGACTAGGGCATGAAATCAACTTTGAATTAAGGTTCTCTGTGCTTCCTCAAAGTCTTTCAACATTTCGTCAAATCTTGGGATAAAGTACAGAACTCTCTTCCTCCTGAATAAATTAATATATAACTTAAAATATCCTTGCTCAGTGCTTTTTGTATTTCTGTGTATATCAAGATTTAAATGTTCTAGGAAATAAGAATTCAAGGGATACAATCATTGCTATATGATGAGGGGGGAAAAAGCATCTCTTCTCCTATAAAGAAGTCAATATTAAAACATTGTAATGTGATATAGATTAATTCCCAGATAAACTTTTAGAAATATATGTTACATCATATTTATTCAGTCAGTACTATTCATGACGGAACAAAATATGTGATACATTTTTCCAAATTTAAAGTGATTTAGAAGTATACTTTGTTATCCCAAACTGTTGTCCCTTTTTTCTTGACAACCTGATTTCTTAGTGATATAGAACTATGTTCCGTGGCAGGTTATAGTGTTTGGTCAAGTACCATATTCTACTCATCTTCCTAAAGTTCTTTCCTTATAGAGATGCCTTCCATTCTCAGTGCAGGTTGACTTCCCCTGCAGTGATTCTAAGACTAAAATAAAAAAATAAAAAATAAATGAGACTCTTACCCTTAGCCCACAAACAAGTTTTATGTCTAGTGGGTAGTATTTTTTAAGTTCCGAAATAGGAGAAAAACCATTTTGGTATTTAGCTTCAGAGAACAGTCACTTAACCTCAGTACTTACTATCAATATCTTTGCTTCTAGTACACTTGGTGTGTTAGTCTCCAGTTGGATTACCAGCACTATGATATATCATACGGAACTGTCATCACTATCACTTGAGGCACAACAAAAGAAACTCAATGCCATTTCTTTCTAGGATGAAATAGGATGGTCTACCAAAAAAATAGAACCTAGAGGTGCATGAGCTTTCTGTATAAAAGCTCTGATCTTGGAAATATTTGAAACATTTTTAGCATGGGGCCATGAAAAGAACAAATAATGGATTTCTTTCTTTCCCATTCAATTACATATGATTAAGATCAGAAAGTAGAGAAATAAGTTCCTAATTTAGATGACAGTCATATCAATATTCAACCTCAGGAGTCACATTTGTCTATTCTGATTAGAAATCCCTTAGAAAAGTCAATCGAGTGGGCAGTTAACTACAGAAAAATTGTTACTTTCTGTTAGTGAGATGGCTGGTGGACAAGACAAGTAAAGCAAATGCTCTAGAAACCTTATATTAAATATCTGGATCCTCAAAGTAGGTTATTTAGCTTGAAAAATACTTATACAACCACCACCAACACCACCACAACACACACCAAAAATTACGTTAGAAATCAATCTTTCAGTTAGGGCATATTTCTAAATATACAGAAGATCATTTTTCTGCATATTCTCAACTTAGTCAAAACAGACTGTTCCTTCTTATAGAAGGAAATTGATGAGCTTCTTCTAATATTAACATTTCCATGGTGAAGATTTTGATAGACTAAACACAGAGAAAAAACTCAGAACTCTTCCCAAGAGTCAAGAATCATACTCTGCTCAATGAGTCCTATAAATTAGGAGCTGAATAGTTTCGATTTGGGCTCTTCATGTTAAATAAAGGCCTAACATTTCACGTGCTGTATGTTTCATCTATTGCAGAATGTGACCCCACAGATAACCTTTATTCCGATCCAACTGTTCATTGAATGCAGCATAGGATTATTCACTAAAATGATTCAGATTTTCCCAAAATGTAGTCATAATTATTATTTTTAAAAAATCTTCAGACAAACTTACTTTCTTTTTTGACAAATATAAATTATTCTACACCAAAATCATACTACTGGAACTCTGTGTTTTCACTCTTCATCCTAATGATCTAATAGTTACTTTTCACATAATGAATTCAACTTTAAAGAAGAAAATGCTATGTTATATGTTAACTAACATATAAGGAGAAAGTACAGAATGATATTGAGAAAATTCATAGGCCTTACCTAATATAGCCTTAGCCATTTTTTTTTAAGAAACGTCTTACCCATGTAGTTTCTTTCAAAAAGTTATGATGAACTTTCAAGTAACAGAAAATTTGTTCAGATGACAAATGACATAATGAAACACTAAGAAAAATCAAATGGGAAATGTGGGTTTTTAAAAAATATTTTATTTTAATTTTCAAAGAGAAAAAACCTCATTCATATATTAAAAACAAAACAAAAACTTCGAATAAAAGCCTTCTTTCTAAAGAAGACAAATCACTCACTATTCTGGCATTTTTACTATATATTTATAAAAATTAGACATTCTCTTTAAAATGCCAGTCAAACTGCATTGAAATTTAAAAGATGTTTATTTTGATTTCTTCACAAAACTAGGCTATGGAGTAGTTTAGATTGCCACATAAACACAAAGTATTAGCTAGTGGGCAGTTTATTAAAATTGCCACACATGATTTTATGGCTTTACTGGCTGAAGATAGGCAATATTGATTTTTTTCCCCTCCTCTGTCCAAAAATCTGAGTGACTAATTCAGTCTTATTCAGGTAATGATAAACTAAAACAGTTCCTGATCATATTCTCATTTTTTCTTAAAAACAAAATTTTCATTATTTAAAATACTGCTCATTAATGAAAGAGATGTAATGCCAGAGATAAAATCAAACCATTTGTCATGCTAATATGCCAAAATTACATACTTTATCATATTCGTATTAATAGCATTTCACCAAGAATTTTCTCCAAAGTCTTTTCAAAATTTTATAGTTTCATAAAAACAAATAAAGCAAGTACCAAACCTCAATAAGTTGTGTATGGAAAAAACCTCATCATGGATACTTACATCATAGTACTTTTTAATGAAACGTCTAATGTCCATGATCAATTTGTTGCTCAGTTGTACTATAAAGGTCAGAGGTGAAGCATTACAATTGATGTTACTGCAACGATACAAGCTGGGTTCCATGTCAGTCCCCTACAGAAGTTAGGACAGACAAGCACACAAAAGGTTATTGCAGGATTATAAAAGGGTTTTTGTGCTTAAAAACTTACATGCTGTCCTGGTGTAGTATATTTTTAATTAATTTTATTGGTGGGTTTTTAACCCTATTTTTCTCAACTACTGTCCTCCCCCAAACCCCTTTAGTCACAGGTAACTTCCACTCTTTTGCCATCATCATAATGGAGTACAAAGCCAAAGGGAATACCCTGAAATCACAGCTTTACATTCAATACATGACAGACTCTATGGATAAAATAATTTTCCCTCTGTAAATATCAGTGAAGTCATGTTACTGGAAATAAACATCTTTCTTAGAGATACTGATCGAAATTTTAAATTTGCACTTACTCATTCCAAACTTGAAGATAAAGCAAGAGCTCTTATGACGTTAGTTTGCTTTCATCTTATCAATTTAGGAATAAAGCCTAAAAATTAAAACTGTTGCACCACAAAAGCAGTATCACTTATTGACAGCTTAGTAAATATAAAATTTCTGCAATTTTTCCCAAAAAAATGAATTGTATAGGGGAAGGGAGGCAGAAGAAGTAGAAATTTGAAAGACTTAATATTAGTAACTGGAGAAAACGTTTTGTTTTGTTTTGTTTTGAACAAAGACAAAGCAAATATAATATATAGGAAAACTGTTGGGGTTTCTGGAGCATTTGTTTTCCTTCTTGATACTTAAACATCTTGGTTTCCTGCTCCAATCTGGTACATAACCCTACCCGCCACGCTAAGCAATTCCAGGTGGAAGAGATTTTAGAGCTTGACATCGGCTCTTCCACAGTTAGCCCATCTGCAAGTCGTCAAGCCTCCATGCAATTAACTATCTTATTTACAGCTGTAATGAAGCAAAACTCAAGGATTTAGCAAGTATTGCTGATCTGTGTCTGCCTCTTCCTTGCACTTGCTTCCAAAGACTGCTTTGTTTTGATTCAAAAAAATGCAAAACATCTGCTGTTTGTCCAAATTAACTTAAAATAATTACTTTTAATTTAGATAAAGGATGTCTTTTCCTTCGGTTTCAAGGTTTTACACAGTTCTGCTGCCTACTCGTTTGCCAATGGCTAGTACATGCATAACACTGCAGTGGAATCAAGTAAACTGGCCAAGTTTCAAATTCTGATCCAAGGTCAATGATACATTTTTTGGCAGTACTTCTTGAGAGGAATGTCTCTCTGTGACTTTTTAAATGTCTGATATGCAAAGACAGCAGAAAAGATAATAAGAGTACCTTTGTCAAAAAGGAGGTAAGTGGGATGTGTAAAGATAAACAAAAACTTTCCCAAAACACTTAGTTCCCATTAACTTGATTTAAGATAAAGGAAAATATTGCTCTGAGTCTTAATAAATGGGGGCTGGGAGTAGGGAAATATAGGTTACTAATTAAGGAATTACAATAAAAATACTTTAAGATAATTTAGAATTTTTAAGAGATTCCATTTAAAAACCAAGGTCAAGCACTGTAGGAAGCCAAAAACAATATTTAAGCACACTTAATTAAGAGTAAGCTGTGAAGGCAGAATTCATACGATGCTAAAATTCTTTGAAGACATGAAAGCAATGTGTGAGTGCATTTTCCCCTTTTTTATACACCCTATAGTGGGGGAGGAAGGCCTTTATACTAATTCACTCAAAAAATGAAAGAAGGAAACAAAAAGAAACAACTAACCAAACCATCAAAGACATTATCATAAATATTCTCAGTTCCACATGTAGGACATGGACATTTGAATCTTTCACAGTCCCTGTATTTCTCTTCATCAGTGAGCTGTGCTGGGCCACCAAGTGGAGCATCATTCTCTTCATCTTTATGATAATGATGAACTCTAAATTGGGCAGGGTCCAGTCCTATTAATGTAAATGAAAAAACAAATTTAGAAAAGTATTTTTCCAAGAAATACCACAAAGAAGAAAACTGAGACACACACACATACACAAAAAGATTTTAAATTCATGCACACACATACACAACCATTTGAACTCAAGATCACAGGTACAAATGACTTTGCTTTTTAAAAGAGATTACTTTATAAATAAAATAAGTAACTGCAACAATGCAATACAGAAGTATGCCACTGGACATTTGGGCTTGGAAGCAACTACTTCTATAGGATGCTTTTATTATTTTCTTAAAGTTACAGTGAAAAACCTCAAATAAATGTGTATTGTTATTAAGAAATGCTCTTATTATCAAAGCATCACCATTAAAACTGAGAATAAAATCAGAGAATAAAAATCCCATTAAAGAAAACAGGCTCACTGCCATTACAACTCCTTCAAGCGCAGATACAACTGCTAACCCTGATTTCAATGCAGTGGTCGATTTCATCTTGGCTCAGTAGTTAACAGCATGTAGGTTGCAATCTAATTCAGTGGTTAAAATTCAGTAGCAGCATTTGAGACAAAAACGCAACATGGTTTTTTTGGTGTTCAAAACTCAGAAATTTAAAATACGTGCAAAAACAATGGATCTATAGATTCTACAGGCCAAAATGTCCCCAACAATCCTGAAACCAAATATACCTTCCATATTTCAATCAAAACAACACACGAAATCAACTGATGAATAGTTTATGCTATTTTGTTTCCACAAACTATTTAAAGGAAAGAAACATCTTTAGGCCAACCAATTTAATTCACCCTTCGTCAAAACATATCTGTCAAAATTTACTATTTGAATTTATACTTAGGGATAATTACTCTATACTATATCTTACATTATTTTCTTAAAAGCATCCCTTAGTTATCCCTAAAAGTCTAAGCCTTTGGAAATCTAAAGAAAGCAATCATATTTTAGTACAAAGGTAAATAAGTAATACAAAACAGTCACTGAGCAAAAAGTTCACAAATACCAAAAATATCTAAAAGTTGTTTTTAATCTATCAACAGCTGCATAGGTACATAGTCTGATAGATGCATTCAGAATTCAGTGACAAAATCCCAAATATTATTTGGTCAGTTATCAAGTGACACCTAGCAATTATAAAATACTTGAGGCAGACTCTTGTATGGTGGAAAGGTGCCAAACAAAGAATAAGAATGAAACAGTTTCAATTTTCTCACCTGCAATATGGAGGTGGCATCACTGATCATAACATTTATGAAGTTTAAATTGGATAATATAGGACAAACTGAATTTAGTGGTGCCTACTGTGTGATAAGCATTCAATAAGTGTCATTTGAATGAAAAAATAAAACAGTGAATGAACATTTAATCCAGACTATATATATATTCACTCACGATTATACATTTAGAAAAATATGAGAATATGTTCATGCTGCATATGAAGTTAATAGCTACTCTTTGTAGGAATTAAAGTATATCCTAAAGTTACAGTATATGATGAAAACAAAGATACATTCAGAACAATTTCAAAAACTGTTCTTCGTTAGTGATACAAATTAATGTAACATAGGTGACTTGGCTCCGAGACTCATTATACATTTTTCTGTCACAAGTTACCCAAACCCTAAGAGAAAGAGGAAATCAGTAAATTTTGTGGGACTATACGCCCTCATATTTAAAGATAAGGAAGGGCTGAGGAAGTGAGTGAGAGAGACCATGCCCGTGAATGAGGCCATTTCTTCTCTGTAGTGAAGGGTAACTGTTGCTAATTCATTAAACTCAGTTGTGAATCCAACTGTATTCACGTAATGTCTTGCTTTATTTGCAATTATGAGAAAGCAGCTTCACCTTTTCTCTGACCGTATGATTATTAACTTTCCCAGACCAATACTAATCAAAAAGTAAGGAAAAATAAGCAAGATTTTTCTCAAGCTTCCTTCACAATCCAAAAATCAAGGAACAAAACAATGCTGGTTTGCACACATACAAAATTGGCTGGGCTGTAAAAAGGAACCAAGAGGGGCTGCTCTCTACCCCTCCCCACCAGCCATGGCTCACTTGGCGAAATGGAGTGCATGAAACTGCATGCACTGGCTCAGGGCAGCCTGCCTCCCAAGTAAGCCAAAAGTGGACATAGACTATCTTGCTACTTATGGAGAAATGCCCAACTGGCCAAAACCTGCGAAAAAATATCAGGCCTTACGAAATATCTACTCTAAATATCCATTTCCACCACCAACTCTTATCTTCCCATGGCAGTAACAAAGCCGACTGGCCCAGCTAATTACTTCAGATTTATTCCCAAGCTGAATTTTTTCCAGGGGAAGGGGCTTCAATCTCAGTACTTTCTTGGTAATAGTTCAATGCTACATTTTAAAAATATAAAGGGAGAAGACACTATAATGCCTTAAAATATTAGGTATATAATGATCCTTGTACAAGTTACCTGAATAAAAAAACGTCATCTAAACAAGTGATTTTCTTGGGAGAGCAATTATGAGTTCAATAGGCAAGTCACAGAAGGTTAAAAAGTGTTTTAAGAAAACACATGCCACGTTCAAAAATAAGGACCACTGCTACTGCTATCTTTTTCAAAAAGGTGAAAATCCAGGCTTAAACATGCCCCAAACTATTAAACATACTTTTAATTTTTCCAAATCCTCACGAAATTGGTAATAGCAGCTTATTTTGAAGTTTCGATAGACTTAAAAGTTTTACTGCTTATACCGTAACTCAGTAAGGCTGAAGTGAGTCAGGAAACAAGTATCTGGTGCTGCCACCTAGAGGTAGAGAATTTGAATTTTAAAATTTGCAAAACAGCTGCTACATATAACTCCATTTGTAATTATTGTCGCTCCAAAATTCAACACTTCTGTCAGAAATGACATTAAAGAAAAATCTTTATTATCACATTTTCCCTACATGCATATACATCATATAATATTAAACTACTCACCATAGAGTGAGTAACCATTCTAGTCTTTGAGTAAAGGATGCAAAGCTGAATTCCAAATTCCTTACTTACCTCTTCTACAGAGAGCTTTCTCTGAACAACTGACTTAAAGAAACAAACTTTATGCCCCATTTGAGAAAAGAAACTTCTATTTCTACTAGGCTAGCTTTTGACAGGTTACTGGAATTATTTGGTCAGGCGCAGAATAAAGGAAGGAGCAGCCTGCTCGGGCACTGCAAAACCAGTTATCGGGGGGGAACAGCAGCCATGGCTTCCTTAACAATAAGAAGAGATGATGTATGTTTCGATTCAATCCTGTGACTTGTAGTGATCGAGTCACTTGTGGTGGGGTGGGGGAGACAGAAGAGGCAGTGGAATGAAATTTAAATACTGTCATTTATAATTAGAAAATTTCTAGGATCTCACATTATTTTGGCAACAGGATCAAAACTCTCATGTTTCAAGAAGTATTTATAGAAAGTAACATCACAGGCATTGGGGTGGATGAATTTAGCAGTACTGTTTTTACTTAAGATCACCACAGTCTTATCATACACACTCCCAATGTGACACTTCACACAAAATTATTTTTTCTACCATCGCACTTCCTAACGGTTGTAAATTATACCTGTTTTTAGAATGGTCACCTGCCCCCATTCCCAATGAGTATTTAAACTGTTAATAACTCAAAGCATACAGTTATTTGAGAGGCTGATGCATTTAATCAAACATTTCTTCTTCCAAAGATGAGGTTTCTATTAGGGCAACTGCAAATAACTACAGTAAAGCCAATTATATATGTTCATGCAAGCAGGGAAGAGGGAAAATCCATATAAATGAAATTCTAAATGAGTAAAGGGATTAACTGGTATTCCCAAGCAGTTGTTTGTAATATGAATCATTTAACCTTACTAGGGAAGCTAATTAATGGAATCCTATTGTGTGAAATTTCTTTGTAAAAATTTCTTTTAGGAAGCAAATCATTTATCTTTTGCACAAATCCTGGCTATGATATGTCTGGATTTCTTATAGGACAATATACAAACTGAAAATTTAGTATGATTAAAGAAAAAATATTTAATGAATTTTTAAAGGGTCAATGCTATATCTACAAGAATGCTCATAGCAGCTTTATTCATAATAGCCAAAAAATGGAAACAATCCAGATGTCCATCAACAGAAGAGTGAATAAACTAGTATAATCTACCACGGAATACTACTCAACAACGAAAAAGAATGAATACTAATACATGCAACAAGATAGATGAATCTCAAAAATATTATGCTAAGTGAAAGAAGTTGCACACAAAAATATATACTATAGGAAACCATTTATATGAAATTCTAGAATAGGTAAAACTCATGGTGAGAGAAATCTGATGAGCAGTTGCTTTTGTGAGGGGGGTGTTTATTGGGAAGGGGCCCAAAGGAATGTTCTGGGGTGATAAAAATGTTCTGTGTCTGTGTCTTGATAAACTGATTGTATGATACTTGATATTTCAGCATTTCATGGTAAATTATATAAATTATACTTGAAAAGAAAAGCATGCCAAATAGGAGATATTTACACGGCTTGAACATCCCTAATCCGAAAATCAGAAACGCTCCAAAATTTGAAACTTTTTGAGTGTCCACATACTACCACAAGCGGAAAATTCCACACCTGACCTGGTGTGATGCGTCACAGTCAAAACTTTGTTTCATGCACAAAATTATTAAAAGTATTGCATAAAATTACCTTCAGGCTATGTGTATAAGGTATATATAAAACAAAATTGGCTTTTGTGTTTAGACTTGGGTCCTATTCCCAACATATCTAATTATCTACATGTAAATATTAAAAAATCTGAAAAATTCTGAAACACTTCTGGTCCTATGCAATTCGGATAAGGGACATTCAACCTGTAATATATATATTTCCAAAAGACTCATATTTAGAATATGTAATAAATGCCTACAAATCAGTAAGAAAAATACAAGCCAATAGAAAAGTAGAAAAAGACTTGGACAGGCACCTCACAAAAGGAGTGGCCAAGAAGCACGTGAAAA